GATGGGTGGGTGGGGAAGGGAGGGGGAATAAATGGGGAGCGGATATCAGGGGCTCAAGTGGTAAGAGAATGCTTTGAAAATGATTTTGGCGGCATATGTGCAAATGTACTCCACACATTGCAGGAATGTATGGATTGTGATGAGATGTAAGAGCCCCCAATAAAAGTCTTGTTAAAAATTTTTGTGCCACTTGTTTCATTTTACTTTTTAAATTGTGGTAACTAGCACATTTTAACCTGGTTCACACTATATTTCTATTGCCTAGAGCTGCACTAGGCCTTCCCACCATAAGAATTAAATTCCTGAAACCCCCAATGAGAAATACTTAACTACCCACAGGAAGAAGCGAGAAATAGAGAACAAGATTGGGAATGAACCTTCGTTTGGAGCTTCTTTGATAGACACTATAAACCATACTGAAAACAAAAAACTCACTGCCATTGAGTCAACTCTGGTTCATAGCAACCCTATAGGACAGAGTAGAGCTGCCCCTGTGGGTTTCTAAAACTAAATCTTTATTGGAGCAGACAGCTTCATCTTTCTCCCTCAGAGTAGCTGGTGGGTTCAAACTGCTGACCTTGTGGTTAGCTGCTCAATGTATAACCCCTTATACCACAGGGCTTCTGAAAATTAAACCATAAGGCATGGGACCCACTAGCCTTATCTTTTTCCTACAGAAAGTTTGTTGGGTTTAAACCACCGACCTGGCAGTTAGCAGATTAGCAGTCCAATTCGTACTCAACAGCCTCTCCTAGCCCTTGAAGGTGTGTCACAAAATGAGTGTGTAGAATATCCTTGTTTCTGTGTTGCCACAGTAGGTTTGCCTGGCCTCCGGTGTCTTTTCCATTTGTTGTGGACACTCCAAGTTTTCTCAACTGCAGGAAAAGGGATTCAGCCCTTTCTTGACTGGAAAACAGGAAGGATTTTGAACAACCCTTTAGTTGCCAACTGTAACTAGTTCAACATTTTGATGTTGTGAAGACTTGACTTAGTTTTGGTTTTTTTTCCCCCTGCTAAAAACTGAAAGATAATGAAACTTCCAGCAAAGTCATTGGGCTGGTGCTGTGCTTGGCTGTGAACAGAACTGTTTGCTGGGTTGGTGACCACTCTGTGAGGTGACGGGGCCAAGAATGTAACCTTACCTCTGAGTCTCATCTGGACAGAGATAGACCTCTTCCTATCAACGCTTCCAATAAAGTTAAGTAGAAGGCATCAGATTGCCTGATGACAAACAACTCTTCATTCTGCTTCTTTCTAATTAACAAAAGTGCACTATCAACACATGACTCATGTTTATACCCACGGAAGCTAACATTGTTCCAGGGACACTTGTGTGGCTCAATAAGTGTTAGCAGAATGAATTGGAATTGATGCTTTCCTTGGTGAAGGTTTCTGCTGGAGGAGGTACTTTACTGTGAAAACCCTTTGCTAAGGAATTCATTGAAGTATGCCAAACATGATTCCTCCATTTGTTTGTATTACACAGGAGATCAAAAATTGTAGCTACTATTTTTTTAAAAAAACACAAGCAAGCAAGTGGGAAGGAAACACCTTGTTTCCTTTTCGTCTTTAGAATTCTGAACCATGTGAATGTATTACACGTTGCAAAAACTGAAAACCCGCTCGATATGTTGTCACTGTTCGAGACCTATTGTTACTGAATTATCTCATGAAATTTAAATGAAATACATTATCAGGACTCACAACCCAAACTTCCAAATTAGCTTCCCCAAACGAACCGAACTCAACATCATCCAGTCGTTTCCAACTCACAGCAGAACTGCTCCCTTGTGGGTTTCCCAGACGGAAAAGCTGTACAGGAGTAAAAAGGCTTATCTTTCTCCTGCAGGTCAGCTGGGGATTTCGAACTGCTAATCTTTTTTTTTTCTTTTCTTTTTTTTTTTAACATTTTATTAGGGCCTCATACAACTGTTATCGCAATCCACACACACATCAATTGTGTAAAGCGCATTTGTACATCATTCTCAAAACATTTTCTCTCCACTTAAGCCCCCGGCATTA